TGAATTGATTTATCAGTTCTAATAGTTTTTTGGTAGAGTCTTTGGGGTTTCCTGTATATAGCATCAAATCATCTGCAAATAGTGAAAGTTTTACTTCTTCCTTACCAATTTGGATGCCTTTTATGTCTTTTTCTTGTCTGATTGCTACAGCTAGGACTTCTAGTACTATGTTGAATAAAAGTGGTGAGCATGGACATCCTTGTCTTGTTCCTGATCTTAGAATAAAAGCTCTCAGTTTCCTTCCAGTTTCTTAGATGACAATCTATTGTAAAGAAGTGCTTACTTTTGTCCCTCATTTGCTTGTCTATGTATTTTTATCAGTATGGACTCATGGAATACTATTTTTCTTCAGTGGGTTATCATCTGATACTATCATTATTTATTCGGTGTTCAAATTGTATTCAGTTTGGTTGGTGGGAGATGCTTCAAGTTGGCTACTGTGTCCTTTCTACAGTCTCCATAATTTTTGTGCTCTACCTTATGTTCTGGTACAATGAGACTTTCCAGACTTGTACTTTCCCTGCTCTGGTCCGGGAATGAGCCAGCTCTCCAAGGAGATCTGATTCCTTTTAGTGGAGTATAGTATTTAGAAACCAAGATCTGAAAATTAAGTGTGCTCATTGCCTATTAGTCCCGTTAGTGGTCAGAACTTTATATATATACATACACACATGTCCATATTATCTATTAATCAAAACCTTGAGTTTACATCAGTATTTCTAATTCCAATACAACACTACATGATTCATCCTAGCCTTTATCCTTTTCCTATTTGTAACTCCCTCCTCAGACAGTGATAAACTTGGCTCTCATTATCCTTAATTTAGTTACTTATTTGCTATTTTCCCTTTTAGGTACCAAGCTCTAATCTCCTTGACTGTGTCCTTAGCTTTGGCCTTGGTGGTTTACAGATCCCCTTAGTCCTGTTTCCTTGCCACCAACTCCGCAGGTTCTGGCCACCTTTTGACCCTGGCTCCAGCTCTCCAAGCCCCATATTAGTGAAGGATTTTAAGTAGGGGAAAGGCATGATCAGATTTATCTCTGAAAACAATCAGCTTGATGGCAGGGTAGATTCAATGGATTAAAGGCAGTTAAGAAGCTATTGTAATAGTCTAAGCAAAGGCCTAAAATGGCCTAAATTAAATCTGCAGCCATAAGAATAGAGAGCATACATTAAAAAATATATTTAGAGGATAAAATCTACAGGACTGAGCAATTCATTTGATGTGGGGGTATGAGGAAGAGAAGGGGCCTAATTTTTAACTTGAGAGAAAAGAGTAGGCAGAGGATGTCACTATGCAAGACCGGGAAGTCAGGAGAAAAAGCAGATTTAAAGGGCAAAAGTGGGTAAATACGAGATAATTGTTTCTTTTTGGCCATGCTGGATTTGAAATGGACGCTGGAAATATAGTAGCTAGTTGGACAGATGGCTTTGGGCACGTGCTTGGACACAATCTCAGAAGTGCTTCTCTCTGTGCAGAAGTCCCAGGAAACAAGTGCCTTCCAAGGCCAAAGGACTCTTTATCAATGCCAAATTCTCAGAGATTCTGAAGTCTCCTCTTTCTCCTAGAAGTGGGTTGGCTGAACTTTGCCCACAGGAATTAAAACAAAAACAGGATGTCCAATGGGGACTTGGAGTTAAAATCTCAGAAGGATGAGAAGAATAAAACAGGGACTGACTGACATAATTTTGTAAAAATCTCCTATTTTGTCACTTTTTTATGCTTAAACAAAAGGGATCTGCACGATTATCTTAAGAATAGCCAGAAAGGTGGTCTTAGGAAGTTTATTTCACCCAACAGCTGGTTTTGGGGGCGGGGGGAACCAAGGAAGGAGGAGCTAATGGCATGGCTAACTAAGTATCACTTAAGGGGTTCCTAAGCACTTCACAAAATCTATCCAATGTAATTATCATAAAACTCTATGGGTAGGTACTCTAGCCGGTATTTTTCAGATATGGAAAATGAGGTTAAACAAGTTGCTCACGTTAACATGACTAAGGAAGGAGAGTTGGAGGCAGAGGTTTCAATCCAGGTCTGCCTATCTTAATGCAACATCTGTGCTCTTAATTGCCCCATAGCATTGCATTCCCAAAGGTACAAGGACACGGCAGCCTCCAGAGCAGATAGCCAGCAAAAGCAGGAGAGTTTCCAGTCTCTCCTTGCCTGAGAAAAACCCCGAGGACCTTCTGGACTAGAATTTTCAATAATTCCTGTTCCTCTATTTGATTAGCTTAATCTGAACACAACCCATCAGGGGACAACAAACTGGAATTCCTCCAGATTCGATGGAGAAAGATCGCAAGGGATCTAAACATACCACAAGATATAAGGGGATGCTGTAAGACTGACAACCCATAAGACATGATGGTCTCAAACACATAAAGAGCTGTCATGTAGAAAAGGAATAGAACTTAGTGTTTTCCCTAAATCTAAGATTAATCCATGGCATAATATTATGTGAAAATGTAGAATAAAAAATTTTATCAATAACTGCAAATATGTAAACACTGAATATGCATGTGGATAAGGACTGAAGGTAACAAGGACAAATGAAGCATGATGTGTTTAGGGGATGGTATTGTGGCCAATTTGTCTTGGCTTTTTTTTTTTTAAGTATTGTTCTGCAAAAAAGAAAATTTGACAAATAAAAGCAAACACAGGAAAACATACAAATGCTGATCATCAGAGAAAAATGTTCAGCCTCATTATAATATAAAATAAAAAAACAAGATACAATTTTCCATTTATCAAAATGACAAGCATGAAAAATAAATAATAACTAACACTAGTAAAGTCTCAGGAAATAATATGTCAGAATAGTTCTGACCAGATTGAAAATTTGTATACACTTAAAAAAATATATTTTATTTATTTATTTGAGAGAGAGAGAGAAAGAGAGCACACAAGCAGGGGGAGCGGCAGAGGGAGAAGCAGGCTCCCTACTGAGCAGGGAGCCCGATGTGGGGCTCTGTCCCAGGACCCTGGGATCATGACCTGAGCTGAAGACAGACACCTAACTGACTGAGCCACCCAGGTGCCTCTTATATACACTTTCTAAAGGAAAATCTAACAAATTATATTATAAAAAATAAATAGTGACAACCCTTTGATGTAGTAATTCCACTTTTAAGAACATATCTTCCAGGTACCTGGGTGGCTCAGTCAGTTAAGCATCCCATTCTTGGTTTTAGCTTGGGCCTTGGTCTGGGGTTGTGAGTTTGAGCCCCATGTTGGGCTCCATGCTGGGTGTGGAGCCTACTTTAAGAAAAAAAAAGAATATAGCCTAAGTAAATAAGGATTTACACAAAGTTCTAGCTAAAAGGGTATTCACTGAAGCCTTGCTTATAATATATAATAATTAAAAATAACTTAAATGCCTATTATTAAACTTGTTTCAGTAAACTGTCCATACAATAGAATATTGTGCAGATGTTAAACTTATGTGGTAAATTTTATTTATTATAATTAAGTCAATAATTTAATGATTTAATTATAATTAAATCAATAATAATATATTAAATTATACTATATTTAATGACAATAAAGGAAGTTCACAATGTAATAACTGAAGAAAGCAAGTAACTAAAGATTCTGCATACTATGGTCCAGTTTTCATTAAAAAATATTTTATATATACATGTGTATATATATACATATACACATATATATATATACATACATATGCATCTATACACATATATATTTAGTGGTTGATTTCTTTTTGCTCAGGTCTAACTTGTTAAAGTGTACTTGGGGGCACCTGGGTGGCTCAGTCTGTTAAGTGTCTGTCTTCCACTCAGGTCATGATCCCAGGGTCCTGGGACTGAGCCCCACATCCAGCTCCCTGCTTAGCAGGGAGCCTGCTTCTCCCTCTCCCTCTGTGCCCACCTCCCCACTCTCTCCTTCTCTCAAATAAATAAAATCTTTTTAAAAATGTATTTGATTTTATTACATTATTTGTATTGTTTACACAGCAAAACTTATTAAAAATAAACGTACCATGAGTTTTTCTCCTCTATTAAAAATGTTAAGTTTTAAAAAATATGGGTTAGATAACATGAAGTTCACAACACTTAGTTGATGATCATTAAGTATTAGTTCCTCTCCCTTCCCTAGTGACAGCAGATATTCAAGCACAAGTTAGAAAATGGCAGATCTGGGATGTAGTTGAAGAGATTTGGGCAACCAGTTGCATCAGATGACCTCTAAAGCTCCTTTCAACCCTGATGATTCAAGATTAATACAATTCTTCCCTACTCACCTTTTAAATAATCGACTGGAATAGTACAAAATTGTTTTATCGGATATCTAGTACTTGTAGTGTTACTATTACTAGCATTGTACATTGTGAATGGGGGGTTGTGGGAAAAAAAAAATCAGGCACGAGGGAAGGCTGATTCAAATCTCAGCCCATCTCCTCCTGACAGCTCTCTGGCTCCCCTTTTTGTGAATGACTGAATGGTGGTCCTTAGGCCTCAGAGCAGACACTATCCGTGAGAAACAGAACTTTAAAAAGGGAATTACTTTCCTTTTCCTAGGAGCTGCCGGGTGACCAACGCAGAGCAGCAGCGCGCCCTTTCCAGCCTCCTGCGAGTGTGGGGGACACTCAAGACCCTGCAATCCAGTAAGGCACGACGAGGGCGCTGTCTCTCCAGGTACAGAGAGCGCAAGACATGAGGGCACCTCCCTGCCGGCCGCACCTGGCTTTCTCCGCCCGCCGCCAAGAGGTCGTGCTCGCCCGAGAGTGCGCGGAGCTGGCGGAGGTCTCCGCCAGGTCCCTCGAAGCCCCCACGTGCGCCCCTGGCGCCAGGAAGCGGGGGCCGCGGGCAGGGGCGGGGCGAACGCCGCGGGGCGGGGCGCCAGCTGCGCGCGCGGGGCGGGGCGGGGCGCGCAGCGTGGTCTGGGCCGGCCCGGCGCTCCTCCTGCTTCCGCGCCCAGGCCCCGCGGGCCGAGCTCCTCCCCCGGCTCGGCCTCTGTCCCCTCCTCTGCCCTCCCTCCCTCCTCCTCCTCCTCCTCCTCCTCCTCCACCTCCTCCTCCTCCTCCTCCTCCTCCACCTCCCCCCTCCTCCTCCTCCTCCTCTTCCTCGGTGAGGCGCTCCTCCAGCAGCCAGGCAGCATGGCGGCCGTGGAGACGCGGGTGTGCGAGACGGACGGCTGCAGCAGCGAGGCCAAGCTCCAGTGTCCCACCTGCATCAAGCTGGGCATCCAGGGCTCGTACTTCTGCTCCCAGGTAGACGCCTGCTCCCCCACGGCGCTGCCGCTGCCAGCGGACTTCCTCCCCTCTCCGCCTGCCCTCGCGGCCGGTCGGGACACGCTCCTCCTTTTCCACTCCCGGGCCGGCCGCGCTTCCTCCTCCCCCTAGCCGCAGCCCCGTCGCCCCCTCCCGCCTCCGGGGATCCTGGGCCCCTCGGACGCGGGCGCGTCTTCCCGCGGCCATGTGGGCTGGGGGCGGAAGCGGACTTGTCCCGGGTGGCCCGGCGGTCCTAGGGCGCCGCGTTTAGGGGCGGGTTCCCGCCGCGCATCCTCTGCCCTTGCTGGGGCTGCCAGGTGTGCGGGCTACCGGAGACAGCTGGGGACGGCCCGGGGAGGGGGCAGCCTCAGCCGTGCGTGTCCCCACAGCCGCAGCTCCCGGCAGGACTCTGGTCGTGATCGCGGGGTGTTGCGGGGCTGGGTAGTCAGTCACTCTGGTCCCGGCGGGATTGGGGGTCGGAAGAGACCCGCTGGGTTTTTGAGGAGTGGGTTGCCCGGGGTCGCAGAGAGGGGGAATGCTAGCTGCAGCCTCACCTCTCATCTTGTGTTTTACTACCGCGCTTTGACACTTAAGCAACTTTGGGCTTGGGGATGGATAGGGATCTGTAATTCATTCTTTTGCTTTGGCATCCAAAATTACTAATTTAGAGAACCATAAGTTAGCGCTATGAGTCACCGTCTTCATTTACAGAATTTCCCACTGAGTGAAAAAGTCAGTTCCATTAAGGGCCATGCTTTAAGGCCGGGGTGTATTTTAGTAAGTTTTGTGCAGTGGAGCAAACCCAGCACTGAATGGGGTCCTGACCGAAACGGGTGCTCGTGTTTTATGTTTACTGAAAAGGACTAGTGTTCCGGTTGCATTTGGACGCTCCGAGTATTGGCAGGGCAGCAGTAGTAGGGCTCTTAGTTACAGTCCAGGTTTGTTGGAGAGAGAGACACATGAAAGTTCAGGTATTAAATTAGTAGCGTCCTGTGGGGAGAAGAGCATGAACAAAGAATCTGAAGGCCTGGTCAGGGCCCTGCCTTTGCCAAGTACTGTGCAATCTTGAACTAGCCAAAAGTTACCTAACCTTTCTGAGCTCCAATCCTACCACTGTGCAGAGGGGAAGATGATACTCTTACATATTTCACAAGGTTGTTCTGGAGCTCAAATTATCCATTGAATGTGGAATGCTGGTAAAACGTGAAGCATTTTTTTTTTAAAGGCTGTCAGTACAATGCAACGCTGCCATACGAAAAATATAAATGAATGGAATGAAAACAAATACATAAGAATAGTATATATAAGTAATATGAATATTTTAAATATAAAGTATGTAAACATAAAGACGTATGTAAAATACAAATAAATCCTTCAGGTCACAGCACTTGTACATAAGGCAGTATAAGAGATCCTAGCTATTTGTATAGGTCTTGTTTTTAGATAGGATATGATCCTTGACCTTGTTAGTATCATTTGGAAAAAGTTGCACATGAGAAGTGTTGCTCTTTCTAAAAATAGCATTGGGACTACTCAGCATGCTAAACCTGGTATGAGTCTTTTTGTTTCTTTGAAGTAATTTCCAAATTTTAATTTGTTGAAGCCTGTGTGGGACCTGGATTTAAAACGAAAAACCCAATAATTTGCTTTTGGAAATTGTGTACCATGAGTGGAATAATGTGTTTTACGTTGAGTTTAAAATTAGGTTGCATTTTGTAATGCTAAATGAGTTAATACGTACAGACACTTACCTGTGGAGATTTTGAAAATCTACTGTGAAACCATATTCATCAGACACAGGTGATATTCTCTTCTTAGGCATGGTATTATTCAGTAGAAAGAACATTGTCTCCTTAGGATTTGTGGAAAAATGCCAACACATTCGTGAAAACATGACACTAGGGCTTCTCCTCGCCACTGCTCTGATCATCTTCACTAGGAGTGGTCTGTCTTCTCTCTGCCTGCTTCTCTGGTCCCCAGCCTGGCTGTCTGGCCAGCTTGTGTGGGAACAGTCTGAGAACAAAACTATAAGAGGCCATAACAGAGGTAAGCCTTCCCCAGTTACTTCCTCACAACACCTTCTTGATGTCCTTTAGAATATTTTATACAATCTGTAATTAACTCATTAATTTTCTTATTTGTTTTTAAATCAGAAGGTGAGGTTCATGAATAAGCTATCTTGTTCACTGCCCTCTCATTTCTCAACATAATGCTATGCATGCAATAGGTGGGCACTGAATGTTTGAATCAGTGATAAATGTATCACAAGGCTGGATAGAGGTATGCGCTGCATTTGAATCATGACTCCATCATTTACTAGCTGTGTGATTTTGGGCAAATAACTTGACTTCTCTGTTTTATGTTACATCCTTTTAAAATGGGGCCATTGATAGTACAGGGTTTTGGTGAATACTAAATACTAAGTGTATGTAAAACACTTTGCACGTTAGTAAAACTAATTGATGTTAGGTCTTTTTTTTTTTTTTTTAAGATTTTATTTATTTATTCATGAGAGACAGAGAGAGAGACAGAGGCAGAGGGAGAAGCAGGCTCCCCGCGGAGCAGGGAGCCCGATGCGGGACTCGATCCCAGGACCCTGGGATCATGACCTGAGCCGAAGGCAGACGCTTAACCGACTGAGCCACCCAGGCGTCCCTAGGTCTTTTTTTTTAATTTTTTTTTTTTTTTAATTTTTTATTTATTTGCGAGAGAGAGAATGAGAGACAGAGAGCATGAGAGGGAGGAGGGTCAGAGGGAGAAGCAGACTCCCCGCTGAGCAGGGAGCCCGATGTGGGACTCGATCCCGGGACTCCAGGATCATGAACTGAGCTGAAGGCAGTTGCTTAACCAACTGAGCCACCCAGGCACGCTTAAGTTTTTTTTTAAACATTTAAAAAAAATATTTGAGAGAGAGTGCACATGCTATTGGGGGGGGGGTGTTGAGGGAGAGGGAGAGAATCTCAAGCAGACTCCCCACTAAGTGGGGAGCCTGTCGCGTGGCCCAGTCTCAGGACCCTGAAATCACCATCAGAGCCAAAATAAAGAGTCGGATGCCCAACCGACTGAGCTACCCAGGCGCCTCTCAGTGTTAGGTATTTTTAGTATTATGCTGTGTTTTATGCTTAAGGTAGAAAATATTTTTATCTAAGATGCTTAATTTATTTTTTAAGCTTTTTTTTTTTTTTTTAGTAATCTCTGCATCTAATGTGGGGCTCGAACTCACAACCCTGAGATCAAGAGTTGCATGCTCTTCTAACTAAGCCAGCCAGGTGCCTCTAAGATGTTTAATTTTAAGTAAAGTTTTGGTTCTTTATATGAGTAAAATCCCTTTTACTTGAAAATTGAGGTTTTCTGATGTTTGATGGTATTTCCTTATAGAAGTGTCCATTCTTTTTTTTTTTTATTCTTATGTTAATCCCCATACATTACATCATTAGTTTTAGATGAAGTGTTCCATGATTCATTGTTTGTGCACAACACCCAGTGCTCCATGCAGAATGTGCCCTCCTCAATACCCACCACCAGGCTAACCCATCCTCCCACCCCCCTCCCCTCTAGAACCCTGTTTGTTTTTCAGAGTCCATCGTCTCTCATGGTTCGTCTACCCCTCCAATTTCCCCTGCTTCATTCTTCCCCTCCCGCTACCTTCTTCTTCTTCTTCTTCTTTTTTTTTTCTTAACATATATTGCATTATTTGTTTCAGAGGTACAGATCTGAGATTCAACAGTCTTGCACAATTCACAATGCTTACCAGAGCACATACCCTCCCCAGTGTCTATCACCCAGTCACCCCATCCCTCCCACCCCTCCCCCCACTCCAACAACACTCAGTTTGTTTCCTGCGATTAAGAATTCCTCATATCAGTGAGATCATATGATACATGTCTTTCTCTTTTTGACTTATTTCACTCAACATAATACCCTCCAGTTCCATCCACGTCGTTGCAAATGGCAAGATCTCATTCCTTTTGATGGCTGCATAATATTCCATTGTATATATATACCACATCTTCTTTATCCATTCATCTGTCGATGGACATCTTGGCTCTTTCCACAGTTTGGCTATTGTGGACATTGCTGCTATAACCATCGGGGTGCACGTACCCCTTCGGATCCCTACTTTTCTATCTTACTAGTTTTAATAGTAGTATAGTAGTTTACACCTAGTTCCTAGGAGTCTGTAAGAATATTTTGAGGATGGAGGCTGTGCTTTACATATTTTCATTTTCTCTACCTTGTACACTATAGGCACTCAGTTTCTTAACTTAAGAGGTGAAAGGCCTGAGAAGGAAAGCAAAGAGCATTCAAGCCCTTAGTAAATAGTCCAGGGCAGGTGCTATCTTGTTTGTAGTTAAAGGATCAGCTGAGAAGGACCTGAGTGATTTGTAACCATTTATAAAATATAAGAACTTAAAAGAGTATAGTATGAATGGAAGGAGACTGGGTTTATAGTCTGACCTGGGGTTAAATCTTTGCTACCAGGTCCTTGGCCAAGATCTCTCTTAAATTTGTAGTAATAAAGTATAGCAGAATCTCAAAAAAAAAATTTGTAGTAGAAGGCTAATAGTGTATCCTCTTCATGGAGTTGAGGGGACGGTGGATAAGAGAGCATGCAAAATACTTAGCACAATGTTCAGTGGTTTTATTATGCATGTGGTCTCATGTCTAATACTATTTATTACACTTAGTTATAAGAAAGGGTTTTTTTTTTTTTTAAGATTTTATTTATTTATTTGTCAGAGAGAGCGCACGGGAGAGCACGCACACCCAAGCAGGGGGAACGGCAGGCAGAGGGAGAAGCAGGTTCCCCGTGGAGCAAGGAGTCTGATGCCGTACTCCATCCCAGGACCCTGGGATCATGACCTGAGCTGAAGGCAGATGCTTAACCGACTGAGCCACCCAGGTGTCCCAATTATAAGGAAGGTTTAACAATGTTTAGGGAGAAGTATCATTTGTTTATGAAAATTTTATTTTTGTTTTTATTACAAAAACAATTTTTG